GTTGGAAGATGTGCACTACATCAACAATCAGCGAAATCAAGGCCAGGGTGGTATGTACTCAAATACCTACAACCCGCAATGGAGGAAACATCCTAAATTTTCCTGGGCGAACAATAACCCAACTGGTGCTCGCAACATTCCACCTCCAGGTCTGCAGAAACAACAACCTCTACCTCAACCAGAGAAGAAACCACAACTTGAAGAATTGCTTCTGGCTCACATGCAAAAACCGACAATAATCTGAAGGTCCTGGATCAATTTGTCACTCAACAGCTAGCCATCAACAATAATTTACAATCGTCTATGCTAGCTATGGAGAGGCAGATGGGACAGATGACTCAAACTTTGGTGGATATGCAGAGCATGATTCCTGGGACATTACCGACTAATACCGAGAGGAATCAAAAAGATGCTAAAGTTGTGACGGTGACATTGAGGAGTGGAAAGGCCTTGGAAGACCCTAGCAGCTTGAAAAAGGCACCAGAGGCAGAATACGAAGCTCTGGGAGAAGGGTTTGGTGCAGAAAATGAGGAATCAGCCTTACACAGGCAAATTGACAGCAGTTTGCCTGTGCAAAAGCATGTTGCCCGTGCAAAACCAGCAGGGGAAAATGAGAAGAGGGAGGAGCTAAAACCTTATGACCCACCCGCACCATTCCCTCAGAGATTGATGAAGCCCTTGGAGGACCCGACTTCAAAAAAATTTTGAATCTCTTCAAGCAATTGCACATCAACATTCCGCTAGCTGAGGCTCTTGAGCAAATGCCCACGTATGCCAAATTTCTTAAGGAATTGTTGACAAAGAAGAGAAAATGGATTGATTTGGAGAAAGTAACACTCACACCAGAGTGTAGTGCTGTGATCCAAAATAAATTGCCAGAGAAGAGGGAAGATCCGGGGAGCTTCACCATCCCATGTATTGATGGTGAGACAGAGTTTACAAAGTCGCTTTGTGATCTTGGAGCCGGCACAAACCTCATGCCATATTCTGTTTATAAGAAGCTGGGACTCCAAGATGTGATCAAGCCGACTCGAATCACTCTGCAACTGGCTGATCGATCAGTAAAGGTCCCCAAAGGCGTGGTGGAGAACGTTCTAGTCAAGGTGGGAAAATTCATCTTCCCCGCCGACTTCGTCATTCTGGAGATGGAGGAGGACAGGGAAGTACCTCTCATTCTTGGGAGACCCTTCCTAGCTACGGAGGGTGCTCTCATAGATCTCCAAAAGGGCGAGCTGACATTCAGAGTCTGTGGGGAAGAGGTAAAATTCAACGTATACCATGCAAGTAAGTACCCTAATGACTCTAGTGATGTATTTGCGGTGGATGTCCTAGAATCATGCACTGATGCTATTTTGAACAATGATTATGATGCGGATTATGAGTTTGATGATTCTGATAATGAACTTGATGAGCTAACCGTGTCAAAGAGGTCACAAATGCTCGAAGTATTGCCTATGCAGGTGGAAGGTGATGAAAAGGCTGGGTTGCCAAAGACTATGGTTCCATCTCGGATCCAGCCTCCGGAATTGGAACTAAAACCATTGCCTAGTCACCTTAAGTATGCATATCTGGGGGAAAACTCCACTTTACCTGTGATTGTTTCTGCTACACTGACTGATTCGCAGGAACATGAGCTCTTGAAGGTCTTACGCCAGCACATACAGGCTTTGGGATCGACAATTGCCGACATCAAAGGCATTAGCCCAACATTTTGTATGCATAAGATCCTTTTAGAGGAGGAGTCTAAGCCCTCAATTCAGGCACAACGGAGACTAAACCCGCACATGAAAGAAGTAGTGCGAAAGGAGGTAATGAAGCTATTGGATGCAGGTATCATTTACCCTATCTCTGATATTACTTGGGTTAGTCCCGTGCATGTTGTCCCTAAAAAGGGAGGAATGACAGTAGTGAGAAACGATAAGGATGAGATGATATCTACCCGAACTGTTACGGGCTGGAGAGTATGTATAGATTATAGGAAGTTGAATGAGGCGACCCGAAAGGATCACTTCCCTCTTCCTTTTATTGATCAAATGCTCGAACGGTTAGCGGGTCATTCTCATTACTGCTTCCTAGATGGTTACTCCGGTTATTTTCAGATCCCAGTAGCACCGGAGGATCAAGAGAAAACTGCTTTTACATGTCCTTTTGGTGTTTTTGCATACCGTAGAATGCCTTTTGGATTATGTAATGCACCAGCAACCTTTCAGCGGTGCATGACTGCCATATTCTCTGACATATTAGAATCAAGTCTTGAAGTTTTCATGGATGACTTCTCGACTTTTGGTACTAGCTTTGAACATTGCTTGTCTAACTTGTCTAGAGTTTTGCAGAGATGTGAAGAGACTAATCTAGTCTTGAACTGGGAAAAATGTCACTTCATGGTGACAGAAGGTATAGTTCTTGGTCATTGAATTTCGGCGAGGGGGTTAGAAGTTGATAAAGCTAAGATTGAAATCATTGAGAAACTTCCCCCTCCCAGCACAATAAAAGGAATTAGAAGTTTTCTAGGTCATGCCGGTTTTTACCGGAGATTTATTAAAGACTTCTCAAAGATCACCAAGCCTTTATGTGATTTGTTGGCCAAGGATACTGCGTTTAACTTCTCTGATGAGTGTTTGCAGGCCTTCAATCGTCTTAAGAAGGAGTTAACCTCTGCTCCCATTATCACTGCACCCGACTGGACTTTGCCATTTGAAATTATGTGCGATGCTATTGACTATGCAGTCGCGGCAGTTTTGGGGCAGAGGAAGGAAGGTAAGTTGCACGCGGTGTACTATGCAAGTAAGCTTCTTAATGATGCACAATTGAACTATTCCACTACTGAAAAAGAGCTACTTGTTGTGGTGTTTGCTTTTGATAAATTTCGATCTTATTTGATGGGATCGAAAACAGTTGTGTACACTGACCATGCAGCTATAAGGCACCTTCTTTCAAAGAAGGAGGCCAAGCCGAGATTGCTTCGTTGGGTTCTTCTTTTGCAGGAATTCGACGTTGAAATTCGTGACAAGAAAGGCTCGGCTAATCTGGTAGCCGATCACCTTTATAGACTTGAGCTTGAGGCAATTCCTAAAGACAAGGTTGAGATCAATGAGTCTTTTCCAGACGAGCAACTTTATGCTCTCCTTGTCCAACAAGTTCCCTGGTATGCAGACCTTGCGAACTATCTCACCACAGGTAACCTCCCTGATTTGTCTTATCAGCAACGCAAGAAGTTGATCACTATTGCCAAGAATTATATATGGGAAGACCCCTTCCTGTATAAGCATTGTGTTGATACCATGGTAAGACGATGTATTCCTGAGTGTGAGGTAAAGTCGGTGCTAAATTTCTGTCATAGTATGGCCGCAGGAGGTCACTTTGGACCTCATAGAACAGCAGCAAATGTGTTACATCTGGATTTTATTGGCCTTCTCTATTTCGAGATGCCCGTGATTTTGTTGCTCAATGTGATAGGTGCCAAAGAACAGGGAACATATCTGCAAGGATGGAGATGCCGCAGACCTCGATTTTGGAGGTAGAGATGTTTGATGTATGGGGAGTGGATTTCATGGGGGCCATTCCCACCATCTTTCAACAACAAATATATCTTAGTCGCAGTCGAGTATGTATCCAAGTGGGTGGAGGCAGTGGCGTTGCCCACCAATGAATCAAAGACGGTGGTGATTTCATGAGGAAGAACGTGTTCACCAGATTCGGAGTCCCTCGAGTTCTCATCAGTGACGAGGGCACACACTTCATGGAAAAGGAGTTGAACACGTTGTTGGCCAGATATGGGGTTAAGCATCGAGTGGCTACACCCTATCATCCCCAAACCAGCGGGCAAGTGGAAGTTTCCAATAGAGAACTGAAACACATTCTGGAAACGACAGTGAATTCAAAAAGGAAAGATTGGGCAAGGAAGTTAGATGACGCACTCTGGGCATACCGGACTGCTTTCAAGACTCCTTTAGGCATATCTCCGTACAGATTGGTGTTTGGAAAAGCTTGCCACTTTCCCGTCGAGCTCGAGCATCAGGCGTATTGGGCTATCAAGAAGCTGAACTTTGATCTAAAAACTGCTGGAGAGAAGCGCCTGTTGCAACTGAATGAGCTCGACGAGATTAGGCTTAATGCCTATGAAAATGCCCGGATTTATAAGGAGAAAACCAAGAAGTGGCACGATCACCACGTATTGCGAAGGGAGTTCAAGGTGGGAGAGAAGGTATTACTTTTCAACTCACGCCTTAAACTCTTCCCTGGAAAATTGAAGTCAAGGTGGTCCGGACCATTTACGGTGACCAAAGTGTACCCACATGGTGCAATCGAGATTCTTGGTGATCAAGGGGCATTTAAGGTGAATGGTCAGAGGCTCAAGCACTATATTGAAGGGGTTTCCATCCTGGAAATCTCAACATATCATCTGGAATGAACTAGTTTACGTCAAGCTAGCGAAGAAAAACAAGCGCTTCTTGGGAGGCAACCCAAGGTGAGTTTTTCTTTCATTTTTTTTTTGTTTTTTTTTTGTTTTAAGGTGTGTCGAGAGGCTCTCCGCCAAATTTCAGCTCCAAAAGCCTTGAGGAAGGTATTATTTGGTGATTTGTAGGTACACGGGCATGCTGCTTTTTGCATAGGGAGGCTGCAAAATTAGCACAAGCAAACCGCAAATGGGGGGAGGACTAATCTGAAATTTTGGAAAGGAAGGGGGGACTGAAAGGGATATTTCATTTTTCAAGAAAAAAAGGGAAGACAGCGTTTCATTAAAGAGAAAGGAAAAAAAATATCGAAATAAGCAAATATCGGGGTCGGGCCGATCGCCCTTCCCCTTCCCCTTCCTCCCTTCCTCCCTTCTCTTCTTCTTCCTCCATCCCCAGCCCGCGCCGCCGGTCGGCCTCCTCTGCCAGCCACCGCGACCCACCCAGCCGCCGCCTCGCACCTCTCGCCTGAGGTCGTCGCCGGCGTTAGAGCCCCCCTCCACCCAGCACAACCGCCGCCTCCGGAGGTAGTCGCTTCTTCGCCCCTCTGCTCCTGCTCGGCGCCGCCCGCGTCGCAGCGGCCCAACCCTCACAGCCGCCGCGTCACCAGCATCCCTCTCGTCGCCGCACTTCCGCCGACGAGCCCTATCGCCATTGCTTCTCGCAACAGCAGCAACATCTTCACGACCAGCAGCAGCAGCCGGCGGTGAACCCTCGCGCCGGCCGTCTGCGGCGGTCGTCGCCGGATTTCAGCACCACCAGCACCCCTCCTCTATCATCTCCAAGCTCTACCTCCCTTCCCCAGGTCTGATTCACGAAGATTCACCGGTTAGAGAAGCAATTCGAAAATTAGGGTTCTTCAAATTGGGGATTTTGCCCTAATTTCGAATTAAGATGAAATTGGAGGGTATTGATTGATTGATTGGTCCAATTGAAGTGCAATTATTGTCTAGAAGGATATTTGCAGAGGATTTTATGGGTGAATGAGCTGAATTCAACATTGTAGTAGACTTTGTGGGATTTGATTGGAATTTGCAGCTTGAGGATTGGTTGATTTGAGGGTTGCAGAATTGAGGATTTTCTGATTGTGGTGGCAGTGAACTGGAACTTGGGAAGCAGAGTACGGATTTGTGCAAATTTGGTGATTCAAGCAGAGTGAAAGCTAAAGAAGTTTGTGTTTTCCCCAGTTTGCACTCTTGGTTGCAGATATGGGACGTCGAAGATATATCCCTCCACCTTGGCAGTTCAAGGTAACCGACCAAAGTGAAGATGGGAATTTTGTTTACCGTTCGTGGATGATTGAAGACATCCACAAGGTGACCGATAAAGACAGCCCAATTCCAGAAGTTCCTCCACGATTGCAAGCGGTCAACATGCCAGCTAGGTTTCACAGAGTGATCACCGGCCAGGTTGGACCCACTATGCGGTCCTGGACTATTGAGATGACTTCTCCAGCTCCATCAGCACCACAGCAACCTGTGCATATGCCTCCTGAAGAACCTCCACTCCCAGATTCAGCACCAGTTGAATCACCTGAGAGCAGGCCAGCAAAGAGGATTCGTCTCCAGCAACCGGGCTCATCTTCACGACCACAGAGGAAGCCTTCTTCTTCAGCACCGGCATCATCCACGACATCACTTCGTACGACCCTAGTTGCAAGCAAGAAGAAGGTTGCTTCTTCTCTTCCAAAGGACGTCTCTAAGACGTTCGGTCAACCTGTCCAGCTCCAGCAACATAAAGAGGAATATGCAGATCTGATGAAACGAGAGGTCATCCCTTCTCAGTTCATGGACTATTAAGCATTGCAGAAGACCGAGCGGGCTGAGGAGGTGATGACATATTTCCCCAGGATGAATTGGGCAAGATTTCCGGAGCTGCACTTCCCCACCTATCCACACCTCACCAGAGCATTCTTGGCCACCTCCAGCTTCGAGGATAGTGGGGTTGAGAGCAAGCTTCAGAGTACTTTGGCCGGGAAAACCAAGTCCCTCACTTTGAGCCAAGTGAACCGAGCACTTCACTTCGATGGTGCAGCAGATGAAATTCCTGATGAAGCACAGGACTTGAGTGAGTTTTGGAAGACAATTGTGGCAAATGGAAAGGAATTCAATCCTAGTTCTTCGAGGAGAGCATCGATCCGAGACCCGATGATCCCACTAGTACATGACCACTTGGCTCGAACTGTCTTGGGTAAGGGATCCAATGCCAGTGGTGTCTACACCACCGATCTCAGATACATTCACAGTTTCGTCACTGGAGCATCATTGTGTGTTGGATACATGGTGGGTAAGATGCTTGAAAATGAAGCGCTCAAAACTTGTGGAGCGATTATGTGTGGGGGAATCATTACTGCATTAGCTCGAGCTTACTGGGGGTTACCAGAGAACCCTATGGGTTGGAGATAAGTGAGGGCTCGACTCTGCTTGGGGAATCAGCGTTAGGCAAATTGGGTTTTCTGAGGAAAGCAGGATGTCGTGGTGAATATCTATCCATTGCCAAATACAAGGAGTGGCAGATTAAGGTCAATCGGAAAGGGCAGCAAAGGCTGCTAGAGCAACTTCTGCTTCAGCTTCATCTCCAGCACCATCGGTATGCACGACCACAGCTCCAGCTCCTACACCCTTGCCTCTGGGTGATTGTTCATAATCACCAGCACCAGTAGCAGCAGGGCACTCTGCAGCGAGTGTCGGTCAGAGTCAGCAATCACATTCACCTCCACGTCCGCATCCAGTAGCTACTCCACCAGTTGTACCAGCTTCACCATCATCTGAAGATGATCTCAGAGCCAGAATAGCTATCTTAGAAGCCAGAGACGCAGAGAAAGATAAGAAGATCAAGGAGCTCAACCAGCGTCTAGATGAGAAGTTCGGCACTTCTTCATCGACCCCTCCTTCATAGGAGCTTGTCCCGAGGTTCTTTTTTCTTTTCTCTTCTTCTTTTCTTTGTGAATACTTCTCGTAGTGGATGATGGTCTGTAATAATGTTAGTAAGGTGAACCTGTTGGTGTGTCGTGTGTAGTAGCAGACATTGTGGACAATGTCCATCCTGAGTGTGGGGTGGATGGTCTGTGTTCTTGTCGTGTTTTATGTTTAGGAGTCAAGTCTTATTTGTCCACAGTGTCTCGTCATGTGTATATCATTAAAAAAAATTTGCCATTAGGTTGAGCACAGCCAAACTGCATGCAGTTTGCCTGTGCAAAAAGCAGTCTGCCTGTGCAACGCTAATGGCTAAAAAACACCTAAAAATCAGAAAAATTAAAAACAAAACCTTGTACTCTTGTGGTAACATGATGTAAATGATTGTGATGCGTGTGAAATGAGTTTGTGCTTGAATGAAATCATCGAAATCACCCCACTAGTGTTGAATTGCATAGTTCTTCACAATGAGCTTGATGTTTTGACTGACTTGATATGCTTTGAATGAGCAAACTCCTTTAGCAACATTCTCTTTTGTGAGGATAGTGTAATGACTTTTGGTGAAGTAGTTAGGTAGAGAACATTGACCATTCGACATGTTTGGATACCGTGCTTACTTGCTCAATTGTGGGCTTTTGATTTTGCAATGAGTCTCTCTGTTTTGATGGTTTTATGATGGGGTGAACTGTATCTTTATAAAATGAGAAAATCCTACCTGACAAGTAAAATATAAGAAGTTGCCTGATAGACCGATAATTATACATGTTTTCACCCCTATTCTGAAGCCGTTTGTGACGATGAATCTCGTGTTTTAAGCCGATTTCACGCTAGGTTGTGTGTTTATGTCATATTTCAGGTCCTGTCGTTGGAATCGAGGCGAAGGAACGAGTTCCGGGTCGAAAGGAGCGAAGATGGGACAAAGGATACTGCTGGACCAAAATACCCGGTCAAAGGAAGAAATACCCGACCGGGTATATTCTGGCCTCGACCGGGTATTTTTCCCTTCGGGCACCCGTGAGAAACAGAAGGGGGCTCGGGCGATGGCCTTAAATCCCCGGTCGGGGATTTTGATGTTGGACCGGGGATTTTCCCCAAAGTGGAACGACGCGTTTTATGAAATACCCGGTCGAACCATGAAATACCCAACCGGGTATTTCGACCGGGTATCGCGAGGGCAGCTGATAAAAGAGGAAGAAGGCCAATTTTCAAGGGGTTCCGAGTTTTTGAGAGAGAAATCGATTCCTAGAGAGAGAAAACGACGAACCAGAGTTCCCAAGCGCCATAGATCGATCTTCAACACCATTGGAGCCCGGTTTGAGCTTGGAGAAGTGCGATTAAACGTCCAGGAGCAGAAATCCAACTTCACAGTATGATTTCCGCGTCTGAATCTGCTTTTGCTTCTTTCTCTATGGAGTAGTTTCCCCATTCATCTGGGTATGGAGAACACTAGATTTGTATGCTAGGTCTGATTGTATGAACCCAAGTACAGAGTTTGTGAATTGATTATATTCGATTGAGGTTTGAATGATTGAATGACTTGAATCCTGTCAAATTCCTGTTGTTTCTGCTTTGACCTAGAATGAGAATATCTGCCTAGGTTGATAGAGTACCCTTAATCGAAGGTGGCGAATTGGTGACTTTAGTCGAGGAGCCAATTCGCTATTCTGTACCGAAGTCAATTCGGTAGTGGAGGTTTGGTTCATTAGGGCCTCAATCTGTTTACTCCGGTGGAGGTTAGTCGCCCGCTAGAGACTCAGATTGAGAGGGTCTGGAGACCTTTAGTCGAGACTTCAGGCTAATTGAGAACCTTCCGCAGTATAACTTTCATGAAAACTGAACTTGGTAAATTGCAATCCGACTTAACTGCAGTCTAGGGGGAACCATATCCAGGTGACCTCTCTTGACTTGACAACAACCGTTTACTTGCTTTGTGTTTTGTTTGCTTGAGTTGCACTAAAAGTTCACCGCTAAATAACAAGAATTCACCGAGTAGTCATCACATCTAGGACCCGGGTTGACAATAAAACCCAAACCCGCTATATTACGCTTTAGGAAGTGGTTGCACTTGGCCATTTTCTAGAGTGACAGTAGGAGCGAGTCAAGTTTTTGGCGCCGTTGCCGGGGACTGCTAGGTTGTTGTAGAAAAGTGATTTCTGTTACTTTAGCATTTTCATTTTTCGCATTGAGTTTTTGTTCTTCCCACTTGTGCCTTCACGGGTTTGCATTGCTTGATTGTGTGCAGATAGTGCATGACCCGTAGCCAGTCGGGAGGTTTACTGCCGTTGAATCCTGAGATTGAGCGCACCTGCAAACAACTTCGGAGACAACAGCGAGCTAGACTGGCTACGGTGGAGCGCCGAGACGGCCAATTGAGCAGCGACACCGAGGACGAGTACGAGATGGAAGGCGATCAGAACCCGCCTCCTCAGAACCAGATCCTGGGGAACGACCCAAACCCCCAGGGAGCTGGGAACCATCATCATCCGCCACCACCGGGTCCCACCTTGGAGTACTACTATACTCCACGGATTGCTGACATCCGCCCGGTCATCCTCTATCCGCCCATTCCTGCAAACAACTTCGAGATCAAGCCATGCTGGATTCAACTCATCACATCCTCTATCCAGTTCCATGGCTTGAAGGATGAGGAAGCCCGGGTACACCTTTCCCGTTTTCTGCAGCTGACGAACGGGTTCAAGCTGAACGGTGTCCCGGATGACGCAATCCGCCTTCACCTCTTCCCCCATTCTCTGGCGGGGAATGCTAAGAGGTGGTTAGAGACCCAGCCCCCATTGTCCATCACCTCTTGGGACAATCTGGCTGACAAGTTCGTGCACCGGTACTATCCGGCATCGAAGACCACGGAGATACAGCGGGAGATCACTCACTTCCGCCAAGAGCTAGATGAGTCCCTTCGTGATGCATGGGAGCGGTACATGGGATACTTCTGGCAGTGTCCCCATCATGGCTTCAGC